TAATAAGCATGAACATATGAAACACGGAGTATTAAAGTCAAAATATAAAAAAAGGACTGAAAAAGTGAAATTTTGAAAATGCCCATCCGACAGGAAATACGGAGTAATAAATACTGAGTAAAATCCCCAAAACCCACCAAAATTCCTCACCGGTCACCGCTTTCTTGATCTCCCCTTACCTTACCCAGTGCCAAATTTCCATTTCTTTCCCTTCCCATCACAATAAACACACAGCAAAGCTCCATGAAAACTACTGATAATAAAGAGAGAATGATAATAAGAAATTAAAAGAGGATGAAGAAAAATGGGAGCTTTTCTTCCACAGATATGGGTCAAGATTATCAAATCAAATATGGGTCAAGATTTTCATCATCCAGAGAGTACGGCCTTTGTTATTGACTAGCGTGCGTTGAGTCCAATTCACTGCCTGCCTTTGTGATCATCTCTTCTATCCTATTCGACCCCTTTTTTTTCAGTTCCAAAGTTCACAGCTTTTTTCATCTTCTGCTCTTTCTTTCTTTCTATGGAAGTTTTGAAAGCTATCTCCATCAGATCTTGGCAGTTGGGTTTCTCTATAAGTTAGTTTGGATCCGAAGGTTATCCTTTTTTCCTTCACTCCTTGCAGATTTTTTTCTTCTTCTTTTTAATTTAGGCTGTTCATCTGCTATATGAATCTTGGATGGCCATTGTTGTGTAAATTATTGCACTGCTCAAAGAGGATTATTGAATAGTTGTTTGATTATTGGGCATGTATCTGGAAGCTGGAGGATATAAGGGAGTGGCTGTGTTAGAACTTGATGATTACAGAGTTATTTAGATCAATTGTATTGTTGTGTTATTGAGAATGGGAAGTAGATAGAATGGGGTCCAAAGAAAGGGGCTTTGGGCTTTGGGTATAGCAAGAAATGAAGGACTGCCCTCTTTTAATCATTCTTGATGGATTGATATTCCCAAGATTGAATTTTTTAAAATAAATGGGCGCTATGGGGAGGTGGGTGTTTGTTGGGGTGTTAATTTCCTCGATTTTCTATGCCGTGGCAGCCATTGATTGTATGTGTGACGATGAAGGATTCTTTAGCGTTAATAACATTCTGTTTCTCCAGAGAATTGGGGATGTCTTGATTGCCATTGCTTATTTCTCCATTCCTATAGAATTGCTTTACTTCATTAGCTGCTCGAACATACCCTTCAAATGGGTTCTCCTCCAATTCATAGCCTTCATAGTCCTATGTGGATTGACGCATTTACTCAACGTGTGGACCATCAACGCCCAACCTTCCTTCCAAATCATCATGGCTTTGACCGTTTCAAAAATCTTGACCGCGCTTGTTTCTTGTGCAACTGCAATCACCCTTCTCACCCTCCTCCCTCTCCTTCTGAAATTCAAAGTGAGGGAGCTGTTCTTGAGACAGAATGTGTTGGAGTTGGACCAAGAGGTTGGGATGCTGATGAAACAGAAAGAAGCAAGCATGCACGTCCGTATGCTCACACAAGAAATCAGAAAGTCGCTCGATAAGCACACCATACTGTACACAACTCTCGTCGAACTTTCCAAAACATTGAATCTCAAGAACTGTGTGGTTTGGATGCCGAGTGAGAACAGGAAAGAAGTGAACTTGACACATGAGTTGAACCCTAACCCTGGTTCTTCCCACCATTGTCTCTCAGTCAATGATCCGGATGTCCTCGAGATCACAAAGAATGAAGGGGTGAGGATACTTAGACAAGATTCAGTTCTTGCTGAAGCCAGTGGTGGCAACTCTGGTGGACCGGTTGCGGCTATACGGATGCCGTTGCTTTGCGGTTCAAACTTTAAAGGTGGGACCCCAGAGCTCGTCGACACCTCTTTCGCCATATTAGTGTTGGTTCTTCCTCCTGCTGTTGGGAATGACTCTGATTGGAGCTATGATGAGCTGGAGATAGTGGGAGTGGTTGCCGATCAGGTGGCAGTGGCACTGTCCCACGCGACAGTTCTTGAGGAGTCTCAGATAATGCGGGAGAGGCTGAAAGAGAGAAACCACTTGCTGGTGCGAGCCAAAGAGGACGCCATGAAAGCCAGCGAGGCAAGGAGTTCCTTCCAGAAGGTGATGAACAATGGGATGAGGAGGCCAATGCACTCAATCTTGGGATTGCTCTCCTTACTCCAAGACAACAACACCTTGAGATCCGAGGAGAAAATTGTCATTGACACGTTGGTGAAAACCAGTTCTGTACTCTCCACATTGATTAGCGACGCAATGGAGATATCAGCGAAAGATGATGGGATCTTCCCCGTGGAAATGAAACCGTTTCAGCTTCATTCTTTGGTCCGCGAGGCTTCTTGTCTTGTGAAATGCTTTGCTGTTTATAAGGGTCTTTCTTTCTCCACGGATGTCTCAAGTTCTTTGCCTAATCAGGTGACAGGTGATGAGAACAGAACGTTTCAGGTTATACTTCATATGGTGGGGCATTTGTTCAATGTCAGTGATGGAAAAGGATCTGTGATGTTCAGAGTTTGTTCGGAAGGTGGATCCGGGGATGCAAATAATAATATTACTAATAATAACAATAAAGTTTGGAATGCTAGAAAACCGAGCTCCGGTGATGAAAATGTAACTATAAAATTTGAGATTGAAGTCTCTGCTGAAGGTTCAGGTGTTCATTCAGGCAGGAGAAGGCACAGTAGCAGAGATGTAAAGGAAAGCTTGAGCTTTAACATGTGTAGAAAGCTTGTGCAGGTAATTCTTTGTTTTTTTAATTTACCCTCTTTAGTTTTCATTATTTTAATGGAAGCCCTTCGTAAACCATTTACATATTATGAGTATATATTTGATGTGGAATATAAGTATCTGCTTACATCATTCATGGGATTTTTAAGTCGTTGGAAGAAGCTGATGGAAAGAGTTGGAAATTGTTGGAAGTTAACTTTTCCAACCCAAAAGAACAAGGCCTTAATATAATGTTTAACCACTAAAAAAGTAAAACTTGTTCACGAAGAGGCTTGGAATCCGGGATTTTGAAGAGCCGAAGCGACAGAAAGTGAGATTGTGTTGTTTCAATTAATTTGAAGGATACAGAAATACAATAATATGAAGCTCAGAAGTCAAAATATGGAATTCTTACCTTAAATGGCACTCCTACTTCAATTTTTCTGGACGGAAAATAAAGGAAAAACGAACCCTTTTTCCGGGACGGAAGGAGAACAAAAAAATGTGATGTCATGTTTCATTTATGGATTGTCCAGTTCAGATATAAATGTAGTCATGCATCACATTCTGCCCTTAAAGATGATGTCGCCTTCAGTATCTAACATTTTCACATGTAATGAAATGAGCATAATAAATGTGGCCTTCTAATCTCAAATTTTAATGATTTTTTTTAAATTTTTAATGATGCAGTTTTTCTTAGGAATACCAGCTTTTGCCTGCAAATTTTGTTACTTGGGATCTGTTTGCTTTTTCCTCAAACATGTTTTCTTGGTTGTGCCATGTTGCAGTTGATGCAAGGGAACATATGGATCTCTTCGAATTCTAGGGGACGCGCACAAGGCATGATTCTCATTATCAGATTCCAGAAGCAGTCGTCCCACAGAAGACGAATCTTCGAGTACAGAAACCCTCCCATGGAACAAACAACGTATTCGAGCTCGGCGTTAAAAGACCTAAAAGTCCTTTTGGCAGACGATGACGACGTGAACAGGACAGTGACCAAAAAGCTGCTTGAGAAGTTCGGGTGCCAGGTGTCACCCGTTTCGACCGGTTTCGAATGTCTGAGCGCCCTAGGGGGGCCCACGGCACCTTCCTCTTTCCAGGTCATCATGTTGGACCTTCACATGCCAGAAATGGACGGGTTTGAGGTAGCAAAGAGAGTGCGACAGTTCCGGAGCCGCAACTGGCCTTTGATCGTCGCGATGACTGCCAGTTCCGAGGATCACATGTGGGAGAGATGTCTACAGGTGGGGATGAACGGTCTGATACGAAAACCGGTTCTCCTGCAGAGACTGGCAGACGAGCTTCAGAGAGTCCTTCACCGGGCCCGCGAAGCCACCATGTGAGAGCGCGCCGCCATTGGTACGTACACCGCGATACTTTTGTTGTTATAGGGAATTGATGAGGTTTGAGTGGTCTAGTTGTTTGGGACTTTGTAGTGAGTGCGTGTGTGTGTTGAGAAAGGAAATGAAGAAAATGTGATGATAGAAACTAGTGATTCAGAAAAATTGTAACTGTTACATTAAAATTATTCAAATGCAGTTTGGAAATGTTGGCCAAGACTTGTTTTTTTAGTCCTATTAGGTTTCTCACCACATTTTAGTTCAAACTCTATGATATGATGACAACCCGAATTGATACTTTCTACCCCCGACCTCTGGTGAACCCTCCTCCCACCCAGTTCCGACTTTAATGCATCCCTCCACCCATGCCAATTGCACATTTGCACTATTTGCACCCCAGAAGTTTAGTTTGACCCAAAGTAAACTAAACTTGCAGGGTGCAATTGGCGTGAGTGGGAGATAGGTTAGGGTCACTTGGTGTGGGAAACGTTGGCCCGGAAGACATGAATCACAAAACAGTCCTATTTAAATATAAAAGGGTTGGGCTTGTACTCAAGTGTTTTGGCAATGTGATTTTTCTCAAGAAGTTTACAGAGTAGTATGAGATGGTTTTTCAAATGCATATCTAAGCTAAATCTTTGGAGGAAGTTGGAGATGAGATTCAGAAGATAAAGGAAGGAAAAGAAGAAATATTTTCTATGTTCTGGCAGCTTGTACTTAAAGCATTTGAAGGGCAAAAATGGAATTATAAAAAGTTCAAAGATACAAAAAAAAAGAGCATTATCTATTTTTTTTTATCTAAAAATAGTCATCTATAAAAATCAAGTAGAGAGTTACATTTACTAGTTTTAGTTTAATCTGTTACGACTTGTTTTTTTCTATTTAGTTCTCATTTCAATCAATTATCAACTAAACATGTAGTATAAGTATAAAATGTTCATGAGATATAAGAACACATTAACTAGTAGCATAGTTACGAATACGTTGATTGAGTCGAAGGTCTGGTTCAATCTGTCCGACCGATTAAGCTCTGACCTACTAACTTGTTTGGTTTGATTCCCAGTCTGATCTCCAAAACATTGCTTTTCGGGCAAAGAGCGGACCCGACATGAGTAGCTAAACAGGGCAAGAGAGCTACACCGACGTTGGTGTACAAACCAAATGTACACCAACGTCGGTGCACTTGTGTACTTTTTATCAATAAAAGAAGGATGAGCCCCATTCCCGAAGGCTTCCTCAGACCTGGCCGGACGGTCATTGAGAGAAGATAAATTAGACTTTAATCGCAAATTGGTGGCAAAGAGTGGAGCTTGTAGAGACTCTATATTTAACATAGTTACCTTATGGCTCGGGTCTTCTTATCAATGAAATGAAGATTCTTCATGGTTGTTTTGTAAATGGCAAAGTGGTTAAAGGAAGGAAGAAAAGAAAAAGCCACAAAATAGGGATACAATCCAAAAAGCAGGAGGCAGAAGACCTGACCAAACAAAACACTTCTGTTTTGTTAGTAGATGCTAGTAGCCACATGGACCTACACCCTACCCATGATTTCAGCAAACTCTATTTCAATTCCCAAGAATTGCCTTTTAAAATATTTTATCCCTAAATATTACCCTAGGAATAATAAAATAAGAGCTCTTTAATTTTGTCTCTAAAATACTACCTCCCTTCTCAAAAACACTTTTTCTTTCATTTTTTCCACTTCCAACAAAACACTTCCTCTGTCTATTAAAAAATCACTTTTACCCTTATTTTTTTCTAGCCTACCTATCACATCATACTTTTTCTCTAATAATCTATCCATGACATCTTACTTTTACCCATCACATCAGGGGCAAAATTGGAAATCAACTATAATTTAACACTTCCTTATTTTTGCCCCCAAATCAAATGGGAAGGGTTTTTCCAAACGGAGGGAGTAGAAAAATAGAAGAATATAATTGAAATTTATCCTTAAAAAGTAGACTAATAAAACAAATGAGAAAAATATTTTTAGACGGGCCAACAAGAAAAATGGGAAGAACATTTTCACGTAGAGGGAGTATTTACTTAGGAACTATAAGAGTGTCTGAGAGTACCAAATATGATTTGGTCTAATGACATAAATGTGCCTTTTCTAAATGGAAAATAAAATATTTAAATTCTACGTCCTCTGTACTAAAATTATTTTTTCAGTCACTATTTACATAGTCAAATTTTAATCATGTTCTTTATTTATTTTTGTTAGTTATTTGATAAAATTATATAATCATGTCGCCTCTTAGCTTGTTTTGTAAAATTTTTGATGTAATTTTAAAATACGGAGTATGCAATTTTTTTTTGTTTAATTGAATTATGAAGATCATTTTAGAATGAATAGAGTAATAATGGCATTGTTTCTTTGTGTTTTAGTTAGTTGGTTTTCATAAAATTGTATGAACAAATTAAATATTACAATATGTACATTGTAATAGGGTCAACTTTATTTACTTTCTTGACGTATTTTTGTTGTTCATTTGATAAAATAATATAGTCGGGTTATCTCTAGTTTTGTAGATCTTTTCATGTAGTTTAATTTTTAAATGTGTAATTTTTATTTTTAATTCCATATGATTTTCCACATAAAATAATTTGAAAGTAACTTCAGTCAAACATCCTAACGCGCAGCAGGAACATTATTGTTGGACGAGAGTATGTGTTCATTATATTTGACATTATTCTCATAGACTCGTATATAACTATGTTAACAAAAAATTACCAATTCCTCCGTTCCACAAAACCTTTTCGGTTTTGACTTTGAGGAAAAATAAGGAAAGTGTAATTTTGGTTGACTTTCCAATTTTGCCCCTGATGTGATGGGAAAAAGTAAGATATGATAGTTTGGTTATTAGTGAAAAAGTATGATGTGATAGGTAGGGTATGAAAAGGTAGGGGTAAACGTGGTTTTTTAATAGAAAGTGGAAGTGTTTTGTGGAAAACAAAAAAACGAAAGAGGAATAGTTTTGTAGAACGGAGAGAGTAGTATTTTACTTTTTATTGCTTTTTTAATCAGAATATAAGTTCTAAAAGTTTATAGTACGTGCATTTTTAGAAATTCGACATTTTTTTACTCCTTAATAAGTGTGTCAAGTTAACACGTGAAGAACATTTTCGGACGGAGAGAGTTTCCGTAATGTTTTGAAGCAAATAATCTAATATTATCCATTGTCCAATTAATTTTCAATTACACCAAATATAATGGCAACCATCTTAACATCATATAATAAGTTTATCAAAATATTATAGCTTCACAAATACCATCATGTGAAAAATAATACTTTAATGTAAGGAACTAAAAATTTTGAATTTTTATAGTCATCTTAATATCCAAAACCAATGCACTAATCAAAAAAGAGTATGACCATATGATGCAAAAACGTTCCAAGAGTACATTAAAATCAATATATAATCATTTATAAATGAGTAGAACAATGTAACAAATAGCTTCAAAAAAACAATGTAACAAATAAATACTACGAAATTATACTATGCACACAAAACAACTTAGGTCGATCTCCTTTGCGAATATCATTTTAATTAGAATTACTTTCATGGTATACAATAATTCTAAAGATAATAACACTAAAAATTATAGTTAAATTTCTCAAAGAAATATTTGCACTAAATAGCACTAAAACTTAAGACAATTCTCTAAATAGCACTTAAATTGTTTTTTTCATAAATAGCACTTTATAATGTCCATAATGACCAGTGATAGCAAACATTTACTAAGTGGTATATATAGGCAGTATATGACATCGAGAAAAATTAAATTGATGATCTTTCTTTATAATTTGTGTTATAAGTGGTATATATAGGCAGTATTTGATCTTCTAACCTTTTTAGGTTTTTAGAATGGAGGCCGGCCGCCATGAGCCCAACCAAAGGCTTCATGGCTATTAGGCATCACATTTGGGGGGGAATTGTATAGACCCAATGGCACCAGAGACGGATCCACTGCACCGAGCCGTGGTGGAGTTTCACCGACTCTGAGCGGGGCCGGATGGTCTCTCTGGTGATCATCCGGCTCCAAGGGCAGCCTCTCATAAGCGGCGTTTGAGAACGTGGAACCGATCACCATGACCGGTCCAAACGCGACGAGGGAGCCCACCACGCTCCCTCCCAAAACTTGCCCTTGTCCACCGGCTAGGTACACAGTCAGTCCCGTCGGGCCCGACGGGACTGTGTTGGTGGGGAGGAACGCGCCGGTCAATGAGAGTATCTCGAACTGGCCGTGTAACGCCACGACGGCCCCGGTCGGAGAGGACGGTTGCCTTAGGGTAACGTTCGTCACGGTGCCGGTGGCGCTCATGACGCAAACACCCCTCTGCCTCCTCCGCGCGAACTGGGCGATGCTCTCCGCCACGTCGGCCCCGTTCGCCACCTCCAAGACGTGGCTCCTCAGCGCGTCGGGGCTGTCCCTCGTGATGAAAACCGGCGGCTTCGGCTTGTTCTTCGAGCCAGGCGGCCTCCCCCGAGGCCGCCTCCTCGTCGCCGTCGTCAAGGCCGCCTCCTCGTCGTCCCCGGGATCTCTCTCTTCTTCTTCCTCCTCATCTCCCCTATAGATCTCACCGGCATCGTTGTCGTTCACCGCCGGATCCGGGTTGATCCTGACTGCGGCGGGGGCGGAGGACGACGACGGATCCATTCCCGAAAACCCTACTTGGCCCGTCCACCATGGATTATTATTAGCCATGTGTGAAATGGAAACTTAATTAGCACTTGCACTGCGTCTTCTTAGCTCGAAATAGATCTCTATATATGGGAAAAAAATGAAGGTTTCCAGAAAGGGTAATGTTTTTGTTTGTTTGGGGGGGTTTAGAAAATAGATAGCTAGCAAATAGCTAGGTCGAAAAAGATAAGGATGATATACATATATGAACACAAGCTAAGAAAGACCTAAGCCTAGAGAGAGAAAGAGAGATTTAAGAAAAAGAATATTGGACGACAGAGAATTGAGGAAGAAGTAAGGAATGATTAAATAAAATATATATTCTATATTAATTAGATAAAATAATATTTTAGACATATTTTATATAATAAATCTAATAAAACTTTTTTTGTATCAAATAATTAATATCAATTTTATTTAATTTGAGGTCGAAATTTATCAATTTTGATCAAAAAAGTCAAAAGTGAACAAATACTGAGGGACAAAGGGAGTATTAAATTGAACTATTTTCAAAACTTATAAAAAATATTTTCACTGATAATCAGATAAAATAAAATATTCATATAAAATTTTGATATACTTTAAAGTTTAAAATATGTAATTTTTACTTTTTATTTTCTTACCAATTTATTAATAAAATATTAGTAATCACATGAGATTTTTCAAATTGTTTGAAACAGAAATTTAATTTGTAGACGAAGGGAGTAATATTTATTTCAACATTTTTTTATCAAACATTTTTAAACTTTTTCCAATTTGTCCATAATCGTACCCATTTTTCAACATTTTCAAATTTTTTCCAACTCTTTTTTCTCTTAATTCTCTCTAGTTTTTTTTCAATTCTTTCTGTTTTTCAATGAAAAGTAATTAATTAATAAAACTCATAGAATAATGAGATTGAGAAAATTAAATAACAATTATTTGTTAATGTAAATGGTGAGTAAATTAAATAATAATTAATAAAATAATACTAATAATTATCTAGAAAATGTTTAAAAAAAGAGAAATAGTTGATAAAATAATACGTAATACGGAGTAATAGTATTGCAAATCATTTAGACAAAAGTGGGTATGTTTATGCAAACTTCCCGAGAAATTGGGGTTATTTAACAATTTTAATAATTAATGGAATCTTATTAATTCAACTTTTAGACTATTAGGTGTCATTAAAAGTACAAATGTCATCTAATGAATGGAGGGGCCTGGATGCCCTCTCATTTCCAAATGCACCAAAGAAAATCTCTAATTAGAAGGTCAATTTACGAAAATAAATATGTTAACACTTAAAATAAGAAATATTTTTGCAATGAGAGAGAGTATTTCATGGTACTTTTGTCGACACTTGACATTATATGTCTTATTTTTGATAGCAAAGTATTGGAAATTACTTACTTGATGAGTATATATAAATTTACTCCCTTTCAAAATGAAATTTTCATTTTGATTTTTTGTAAATTTAAGGGGAGTACACTTTTCATTTGAATTTCAAATTTTCTTTTGGATTTGATAAATAGATTGTTGATAAATAGATGTAGGTGTGGAAGGGAGTTTGATAATTAAAAAAGTGAAAGTGTACATGTTATGGAAAGAGTGAAAATAATGAAAGCAAAATTATTTTGTGAAACGGAAAGTATATGACTATTTTAATCCGAGTTAAGTAATCTTTACTAAAAGTAAATATGTAGTTTTAACTTTTACTATTCAATAAAAATGTCTTATTACGATCTACGGAGTATTTGGTAAAATGTTTTGTGTAAATTTTTAAAATTTGATTTTTCTTGTTTATTAGTAATGATGATTGGATAGTAGTACACACACACACGGTGAAAGTATATGATTCGTGTTTAATTTGATTTTTTATATTTCATTGAATTAAAATATACTCCCTCTGTCCACCATAGATCTTCCCAGTCACTATTTACGGGGTCAAACTTTACTCACTTTGTTTACACAATTTTGCTAGTCATTTCATAAAATAATATATTCTTGTCACCTCTAGTTTTGTAGAACTTTTCATATAGTTTATTACTATATAAATTTTATTTTAAAATTTTACTCCTATAATCAATTGAATTGAATTGAAAATAAAGTCGGTCAAGTTTCGTAACGCGTAATGGGAAGATCATACATGGACGGAGGGAGTATGTGGTGTGAAAATCATAGTACAGTTTATCGATTTGTTTTCATTATTCTACTCATATTTAACTGTAAAATACTAAAATCTTACCATATTTTACTTTAATGTATGAAGTAGCTAGTAGTTGATTTAAATTTTTTAGGTTGAGTACAGATGTGATAGTATTAAAACTTTCTACCCCTACAACCTTAACCTTAAACTTTTGGTTTAGTAGATTCTTTAACAATGATATCGGAGAAGTTATGATCCGGACTCGATTCTTCAAGGTTGTTTTGACGTGGGTTTAGCAAATAATGAGCTAGTCGTCTATAGTTTGAGTCGAGTTAGCTATAAGAAATTGACATATCTCCGCATGTTGTGTAAGATAGCTGTAATTAGGAGATTGAGATTTTATACTCGCATGTCCAAGTTCTAACTAGGGCTTGTTCAATTTATTTTTTTTGACTTATTACTCACTTTTATTAAAATCAGATCATATCAGACCAATTATATATCAGAAACAAATGAAACCCAGTCTTCAAAATATCCAATTAGATCATATCAGACGAACGAAACTCAGCCTAGGTCAGGCTAACTACCACTTAAGTGATTGTTGGAGCTCCGACATCTGAAAAAGTAATAGAATATCACTAACATATATGGAAGGATGCAATTCTACATATCAACTCAAGCTTTTGGATAAATATTAGGATAATTGCCTAAAGAGTACTAAATATATTGACTTTCTCAATATAGTACCATGTATTTTATTTACCAATGTAATACTTCATCCGTTCCACAAAACCCTTCCTCTTTCGTTTTTTTTGCTTTCCAAAAAATACTTCCACTTTCTATTAGAAAACCACTTTTACCCCTACTTTTTCATACCCTACCTATCACATCATACTTTTTCACGAATAACTAAACTATCACATCTTACTTTTTCCCATCACATCAGGGGCGAAATTGGAAAGTCAATCAAAATTACACTTTCCTTATTTTTCTCCAAAGTCAAAACCGGAAGGGTTTTGTGAACGGAGGGAGTACCACTGTTCAATGCCAGTGGTCGTTGTTCGAGTAAATATCTAACGCCACTCGATATTGTTCAAACTAAATGTGAACCATCACCATACATTGTTCCCACCACTAAGCATTATTCAAGTACTATTTAAAGAATAGAAAGTTTAAATACTATATTAGGAAAGGACATACTCCCTCTGCTCCTCAAAAAACTTCCCATTTTGACTTTTAAAGGATTTAAGAAGAGTGTATTTTTGTGTTGACTTTCCAAAAATGTCCTTTGATGTGATAGATGAAATAAGATGTGATGAGTAGATTAATAAAGAAAAAGTGTGATGTGATAGGTAGGTTAATAATTAATTGGGGTAAAAGTGACTTTTAATGGAAAAAGAGAAGAGTTTTTTTGGGACGGATGAAAAAGAAGAAGAGAACGGTCTTGTGGGATGGAGGGAGTATGTTTTAATACTATTTAGTGTAAAGTTTACTAAATATTATTGGGGGCTAATCGTTTGGGTGCCCCTCATGTTTACAAAAGGGCGTCAAAACCTCCTATATTTTAAAAAATTATTTGTAAAGTCCATTTGGTTTCTAAATAGAGCACAAACACCTCCAACCTATTTTTATAGTAAAAATAATATTTATGCCCTTTCTTTTCATCTGTCTAGAATTTTCATTTTTTATTTTCCTATATTATACAAATAATAAAAATAAAATATATGCTCTTAAACTCAAATTAAATTTTTTCATTTATGTATTTTTGAAAACAAAATATTTTTTTGGGAGAATGTTACAAAATAAAATGAAAAAGAAAAAAATGAAAAAAAAAAAAATATGTACGAAGTAAAAGAAAAAATAATTGAAAAAGGTAATCAAAACAAAGAAAAAATAATAAAAATACCTTTTTCGTTTACTCTGTATTTGTTTCATCTTTTTGTTCTTCATTTTTTTAAAGTCCCAAAAAAATTATTTTACTTCTAAAAAACTAATAAGTTAAAATTTTTAATTTGCGATAGAGTGAGTATATGTTATCTAATCTTTTTTTATTTTATTTTATTTTACTTATAATAAAAAGTGTAGTTTATTTCATTTTTTATTTTTCTTTTTCTTTTAAAACATTTTCTATTTTTTAAAAAAATTAATAAATGTAAATTTTTAATTTGAGATAGAGAGCGTGTATATTTTTAAAAATTTATTTGTATAATAAAAGAAATTAAAAAATTAAGAGAATGAATTTTGAAAATAGAGGAAAAGAAAGTGCATAAATGTTATTTTAACCCTAAAAATAGGCAAAAGGAAGCGTATGTTCGTTGTTTAAATGCCACGAAGATTATACAAATAATGTTTGAAAATAGATGTGTTTTTTGTATACCAGTGAGGCACCCATGCTATTAGCTATATTATATATTGGATCCCACTTCATATATTAGTGGTGTTAATTTCCTTATTTTTCTTATGTAAAAAATCTAACACACTCATCTCAAGAGATCACTAGCTTGACCTATTATTTGTGACAAATCTGCGATGGACTGTGTATTTTGACCGATCAGTTCATTAGACGTAACACTTGCCAACATTTTGTTTCTTTATTTTATCTTTTGGGCAAATTTTATGGTGGAGCTAAGGTCTATCATGGATCTACATATGAGCAAAATAAAATTTCTTTTACTACTTAAATAAACATTTGTTTTTTAATAAAAAATAAAAATACTTTTTATGTGAGAGATCCACAAAAATGCTATGCACTCAACATACACCAAAGAAGCACCTATGAACTTAACATTTTAAATGTTTCTTTGATGCACCTTGGTTGTGTATCATTTTTGTGCACAGAGGAGAGATCGTGGAAGATCTACTAAAATGAAATGCACCCAAGATGCACTAACGAAATACTCTTAAAAATGATTTGTACCTCGAAAATTGT